TGGCACACTTCACACATTGACACAAAGGGGAAAACTTCTCCAGTCTCTCATTTTCCGGACAGTTACACCTTGACCGAGAAGATCTCACTCAGGGAACTCCAAGTTCCGGACACAGCAAGAACCACACCCAATCCCACAATGGCTGTGTCCAGACTCCATTGCTTCCACCCCATCTCTTCCTTGAACACTAGCAAATGAAACAACGCAGGCAACACAAACCCTAACACACAGCAAGTGCTACTGCCCACCAAGGACAAAAAATCTGTAAAGTTTGGCACAAACAGAGCCACCAGAGTCACTGCCAAGACCAGCAGCCATCTCAGCCACGCAGAGTACATCCCACCCGAGAGACGCCTCTCCACTATCTCAAACACTGGATTCATCATCAGGGGGAAGGTGAAGAAGAGGTTGACGCAGAGCCCAAGCTGAACAACAGTGCTGATAAGCCCTGCCCCCAAGTTTCCCGTGATTATGTCCATGGTCTCTTCACCAAAAGCCAAGTAACCCATGAGACCAAATGCTATGTATATCAAAGAGATGAATCCCATGCCGAGTGCTAACACTTTGCCAAACTTGTCCTTGTCCTTCATCTCCGATTCAAGAGGCAATACCATTCCAACCCCTTCGAAGGAATACACAGCCACGCCCATCCCATAGAAGAAGAGCGACATACCACCAAAGGCAACCACGTCAGGCCTTTGCTTGAGTATAATCATGGAATCCTCCACAATCACCACAGCCATAGCTCCAAGATCGATAACGTCGGCGAAGATGCTGAGAGGAGCCAAGTGAGTAAGCGTCTTGATCGAATTCAGACCCAGCTGAAAGGGAAAGCATCCCCAAATATAGAGACTCTTAGAGGAGACGCCTAAGAATTCAGAACCGAGCCTTGTCATTTGCTGGTTGAGACTCGTGGGCGAATCAGGGTCGAATATATTAGCTAGAGTAGTGCCGATGAAGATTAGATACCCGACACAAAAGCCCGCTTGAGACAGAGTTATGAATAGGTCAACGACGATCCTGCCGACGGAGCCGCAGACGGCGAATCCAAGGTCCCCAAAAGAGCCGATCTTGGAGAAACCACCATTCAAAGAGTCGAGCTTGCGGCGGGTATGAACGAGAAGCATCATACAGTAATGGGTCAAAGCGGAGACGGAGACGAGAAGGAGAACACCCATGAGCCATCCGATACGCTTGAAGGCGTAAGGAAGACCAAGAACCCCAGCGCCGACGACTGCTATGAAGACGTTGGCGAAGGTCTTGAACTGGCTGGATAAAGGAGGTCCCTTCCCGAGAAGAGGCGTGTCCTCTCTGGGCGGAATTTTAATGGCGTAGGACGAGGAGGAGCTACCTTCCTTGTCGAACCCCATCTGAATTTTCGACGGGAAGATTCAGATTCAGATTCCAAACAAACAAGGAAGGAGGAAGCTTTCTTCTTCAAAGATGAGATGGAGGAAGAAAAGATTGGATTGGATTGGATTTTTCTTTCTTTTCCTCCTCTCTCGTCGTATTGTATTAGAGCCACCCACCCCACCCCAGAGGTCGCATTCTACTTAATTAACCAAACGACACCGTTTCGTAACGAACTAAATAAACGACACCGTTTTACGAGCTACCTGCGTCGTCTCTTGGTCTTGGGGATATGTTGAATTTTCCCAAGCTTGCTTGCTTTCTCAAAAAGGGAATGTATGATTGATTGATTGATTTGTTCCCTTCCGATATGGCGAGGATTTCTTGTGACTTGAGGTTTCTTCTCATTCCGGCAGCTTTCATGTTCATCTACATCCAGGTCCACCTCTCCTCCGATCTCGCTTCTTTTCTTTTTTCAATCCGCTGATTTGATTCGACCCACAATCGTAATCAGTGCTCATTTCTTCTTCTAGATGAGGCTTTTCCAGACGCAATCACAGTATGCAGACCGCCTCGCTTCCGCTGTAAGTTCGTTCATTTCAACCTGTGCTTGCTTACACCTTTGCTACTAGTTCTAGCTAAAAAGCTACGAGTCCACTTCAAGATGCGCAACCGATCTGTGTTTCATGATAGATACTCTTTCCTTGGACTAGTACTAATAACGCCTTTGAAATTCCATTTCATGATACTCTTTTTCATGCCCACAATTTTACTTTTAGGAAGAAGAAGAAACTATGTGGAATATAACAAAATTATCAATGCGGTATCTCTTGTCTAGTGTGTCATGAGGATCCATTGAATTTTATTTGCAGATTGAATCAGAGAACCATTGCACTAGTCAAATGCGAGCGCTGATAGATGAAGTAAGCATAAAACAGTCTCGGATTGTGGCTCTCGAAGGTATCTCTATTCACTCACTCCCATTCTTCTTTTCTGATCATGACTTCTGGAATCATACAAGACAAATATTCTGGAAGCTATTTTGAATATTAGCAAAGCATTTATTATTACAAGTCTTCACAAAAGGAAGACTACTTCGTTGCTTTGTTCACTTTTCTCGGGGTATCTTGTAGATATCAAGAACCGCCAGGACCAAGAACTTGTGCAGCTAAAGGATCTTATCCAGACGTTTGAAAGTGAGTTGCTATCAACCGTAAAATTAATTTTCTTGCTTTCTTTTTAAGAATTTTGGTAGTGAATGCTTATGTTGTTCTCTCAGGAAAAGGAATAGCAAAACTCACTCAAGGTGGACAGGTCTGGATAAGAAGATGTTTTTCTTCATATATGTATGTGCTGAAATGCTATCGCTTGATATAACTTGTTTCTTATTGGATTCCGCAGATGCCTCTGGCTGCTGTAGTAATTATGGCGTGCAGTCGTGCAGACTATCTTGAAAGGACAGTAAAATCTGTTTTAAAGTGAGATACTAAGCTGGTTTAATCTTCCTAGGAAATCTTAATTGAACTGTCTAATGACTAATTCTTTTTTTACAGATATCAAAGTCCCATTGCTTCAAAATATCCTCTATTCGTATCTCAGGTACTTAACACAGGCTTTCTATCTTGCGGGGAATGGCAGGGTGGTGACACATTACACAGTTTTATATTCAAAGCATTTCTAACCATGGTCTAACAAAGGAAAAATTTCCTGACAGGATGGATCTGATCAAGCCGTCAAGAACAAGGCTTTGAGCTATAATCAACTAACGTATATGCAGGTCTACTTTAATCTAGTGTGATGTTTTCCTTACTGTTCAAGTAATCTGGTCATAGATAACTGAGATGAAGGCTCTTTCCCTCTTTTAGCACTTGGATTTTGAACCGGTGATCACTGAAAGGCCTGGCGAACTGATTGCATACTACAAGATTGCACGTAAAGACTGGTTTCTCCTTTCTCTGCATCCCTCAAGCTCTACGACTGAAACACTTTTTAATACAGGTCACTACAAGTGGGCACTGGACCAGTTGTTTTACAAACATAAATTTAGCCGAGTGATTATACTAGAAGGTGACGCTTTTTAATCTTTCACATTTTACTGCACCTTGCTGTTGTGCGTGTGTGCAGTATTGCTTAAGGGGTTGTCTATCTCTTTAACAGATGATATGGAAATTGCTCCGGATTTCTTTGATTACTTTGAGGCGGCAGCTAGTCTCATGGATAGGGATAAGTATGTTACCAGGCTCTTATGGCGTTTAAATTTCCACAGAGTATACAAGTGTTCTTTTACTGTTTCTCATTCTTTTCTGGGTGCAAACATGTGTTAGAACCATTATGGCTACTTCATCATGGAATGATAATGGGCAGAAGCAGTTTGTGCATGATCCCTGTAAGATTCTTCTTCTTTTTGTTTATCCCGCTTCCTCTCTTGGCCTATTTTTCAATGCCTCATGATAAAATGCTCATGCTAGCTAAAACAATCTGCAGATGCCCTTTACCGATCAGACTTTTTTCCTGGCCTTGGGTGGATGCTGACGAGATCGACTTGGGATGAGCTATCACCAAAGTGGCCAAAAGCATATCCTTTTATCTGTTTTCAATCTTGATGACTATAGCTTGACGCATCTAAGACTTTCGTTAACAAATATCCACTTACTGGGACGATTGGCTGAGATTGAAGGAAAACCATAAAGGCCGTCAATTTGTTCGACCAGAAGTCTGCAGAACATACAATTTTGGTGAACATGTTGGTACCGGATTATGCTAATATCATTCCATTGTCATAGTGTTACAAGTCTGTTACGTTTGATTTCTGTTAAATCAGCCTCTGCTCACTACATATGACTTCTGATTTCTGTAAAAATAAATTATTTTTAGATTTTGGAGACAATAACAGCGAATTTTAGATAATGTATTTTTCGTTGTCATTTTTGTTTTGCAGGGGTCTAGTTTGGGACAATTTTTCAGTCAGTATCTGAAACCTATAAAGCTAAACGATGTGAAGGTAAGCGTCAGTGTGTTCTTTAGCCCATTTTGTTACATCACTACCTTTCACACGTTTCTTATTTCATTCATAAAGGTTGACTGGAAAGCAATGGACCTGGGATACCTAACGGAGGTAATATTTACAAAATTTTGGAAACCATATCCTTTGTTCCCTTTCACCTGTTTGGAGCGGACAAATCTAGTTTTTAACATGTTCTTTCATGTCTACAAAGGGAAACTATACCAAGTACTTTTCTCACTTAGTGAGACAAGCACGACCAATTCAAGGTTCTGACCTTGTCTTTAAGGCTCAAAACATAAATGGTGATGTTCGTATCCGGTATCAAGACCAAGCAGAGTTTGAACGCATTGCAGGGGCGTTTGGTATATTTGAAGAATGGAAGGTAAATTTCAGATGATTGAGCTATAATCTTCGATGATTGTAGGTCCAAAAAAGTCACCTTTGTGTACCCCATTCATTGTGTAGGATGGTGTGCCCCGAACAGCATATAAAGGAATAGTGGTGTTCCGAATCCAGACTACAAGACGTGTATTCCTGGTTGGCGCAAATTCTGTAATGCAGCTGGGACTTCGAAATACCTGATGCAAAATATGTACTTCTCCAACTCTTAGCATCAGTTGCATCCTAACCATTACTTATAGTTCTCGGCTAATAGGGTTTCACACGCAGATGAAAGCAAAAGAAGATCATTTACGACCGTAGGCAGCCTCCTTCTTGCAGCTGTTTGCACTTTGGTTGTATTATTCATGGATAAGTTTGTAGAGGGGGTTAGCTTTAACAGCTAGGAAGCTTTGGTGACCTGTCTCATAGGTTTTGAAGTTTTGGGAACCCTTTTAAAGGGTCAGGCTTAAACACATTTCAGTCGTTTTATAGCTGATTGTCTTGTGGATATCTTACACGAATGCAAATCATTCTATTCAGTCTTTCTTCTTCCCACTTCTCTTGGCTTCTTCTATATTGCTAGTGTACATGTCTCTTCAACCATCGACATGGGTTAAATAATCCATGTTACCACCAAATTCTTATTTCCTTGTTCATGGCAGGCAGTAGTGAGATTATTAACCTTCATGTGCTTATGTGTGTTGCTTCAAAGAAGTAAATTTTATTTCACTTCCACTTTCGTCATTAGCGAGTGCCAACGAAGGGCACTCAACCCATCTTCGCTGTGACATCATAATCGAATTTCTGTAATTCCCATTCTGCGACCAACAGGAGCTGCGACCCATTGGAATCTTGATTTGTTTCATGTGATACGGATTACGAAATGGCACTCTTTGAATTTGATGAACTTAAGATATATATACATATACTGTGAAAGCAGCAGGGCTAGGAAAAGAGCCCTGTGGAGGCAGAGGCATATTTAGAATATTCTAATAAAAGAGACTATTTTATAGATCTGTTGATCGCCTCTCTCTCTTGCTTGTTATTTTTAGTCAGGATGTGGAGACGTTGGCGAGCATATTGCAAAGCCATGTTCAAGAACGAATACAGTTTTTGATAATCGGATCTGACAGAATTTCTTCCACCTTATCATCTTTGCCTGGTATTTCACACATCCATCTCTTCTTCTAATTTCCCTCCCTATCTCTCTCTACCATTGCGATTTTGGTCTTTTGATGTTTAGAAAGATTATTAAGTGGGGAAACTTGTCCGCTTGTATTCATCTTTTGATGTTTCAGATCGTGCCATGGGATCTGCTCGGATTTGGACGGGGAGGTGAACTACGTTGGTAAGGGATTGGAATATAATTGTTTGATGGGCAATTTATATCTGTCTCAGGGCACTTACAAGCCTAATTATTCTTTCCACGGTTTGTTTCAGCACACCAACTGGCAAAAGAGGCACCTAGAAAATAAGCAACAATGAAGCACAGCAGCGGGAACCAAGCCTGCTATGTTCTTGGTCAAAAGACCCCTAGCATCCGAGATCTCTACTCGTTGGGACACAAACTAGGTCAGGGACAGTTTGGGACGACTTACATGTGCAAAGAGATCTCAACAGGGCGTGAATATGCGTGCAAGTCTATAACAAAGAGAAAGTTGATTTCAAAGGAAGATGTGGAAGATGTGCGCAGGGAAATTCAGATCATGCACCATCTGGCTGGTTACAAGAACATTGTCACCATTAAAGGCGCTTACGAGGATCCATTGTATGTTCACATTGTGATGGAGCTCTGCTCAGGTGGGGAACTATTTGATAGAATTATCCAGAGAGGGCATTACAGCGAGAGAAAAGCAGCTGAGCTGATAAAGATCATTGTTGGTGTTGTTGAGGCTTGCCATTCGCTTGGTGTCATGCATAGAGATCTTAAGCCCGAAAATTTCTTGTTGGTCAATAAGGACGATGACTTCTCGCTCAAAGCCATTGATTTCGGGCTTTCCGTGTTCTTCAAACCAGGTGATAACATCCGCTACATCTTTTGCAACACCTTTCAGTCATAGAATTTCAAACTTGCTAAGGCTCACCTACATCATCTGCAACTTTCAGGTCAAATATTCGAGGATGTGGTTGGAAGTCCGTATTATGTTGCTCCTGAGGTTCTGCTTAAGCACTACGGACCAGAGGCTGATGTGTGGACCGCAGGGGTCATACTGTACATATTGGTGAGCGGAGTCCCTCCGTTCTGGGCAGGTATGCACGCAAATGAAACAATTGTGATAAGGCTCCCAAGGTAAATCATTCTTAATTTTTTGCTTTGCTTCAACTCCAGAAACACAGCAAGGGATATTTGATGCAGTGCTGAAGGGACATATTGACTTTGACTCTGACCCTTGGCCCCTAATATCTGACTCTGCAAAAGACTTGATTCGCAGCATGCTATGTTCCCGGCCCTCCGAGCGACTGACAGCTCATCAAGTATTGCGTAAGTCTAACTAGTTTGTTGTTGTTTCAGGTCCTGATTCCTGAATATGTATCAACTAACTTAATAAGAATTTTGCAGGCCATCCTTGGATCTGTGAAAATGGAGTTGCGCCAGACAGAGCACTTGATCCTGCAGTGCTCTCTCGTCTTAAGCAGTTCTCTGCGATGAATAAACTAAAGCAGATGGCTTTAAGGGTAAGCAGCCAGACACAAAAAATTTCCGTCTAGTATGAACAATTTTCCATTAGTGTCTTCTGCTGCGATCATTCAGGTAATAGCTGAGAGTCTCTCTGAAGAAGAAATTGCTGGACTAAAGGAAATGTTCAAAGCAATGGACACGGATAACAGTGGGGCAATTACATTTGACGAGTTAAAAGCAGGGTTGCGAAGATATGGTTCTACCCTCAAGGATACTGAGATTCGCGACCTTATGGAGGCTGTAAGCACTCTGCTCTGATCTGACCTGTGTATCAGCTTGAAAATAGTATTTTAAGTATCAACCTGTGTGTGACTGATTTACCAGGCAGATATTGACAAGAGTGGGACCATAGATTATGGTGAATTCATTGCTGCAACAATCCACCTGAACAAATTAGAGCGTGAGGAACATCTCCTCTCAGCCTTTAGGTATTTTGACAAAGATGGGAGCGGTTACATCACAATCGACGAGCTACAGCAAGCGTGTGCGGAACAGGGGATGAGTGATGTCTTTCTAGAAGATGTTATCAAGGAAGTCGACCAAGACAATGTGAGAGACACTGCACTTATGCATATACATATCCTCTGGCTTGGAGGTTACATGGTAAAAGGCCAGGGATGATTTTCTTTTTCTTGTTTCAGGATGGAAGGATTGATTACGGAGAGTTTGTAGCGATGATGCAGAAGGGCATAGTTGGAAGAACAATGAGGAAAAGCATAAACATGAGCCTCAGGAACAACGTTGTCTCTTAGTGGCTTATAAGCATTCTCACGGCTATGTACAGGTTAGGTCTTTCTCAGTTTCCTGTCATCTAACACGTTTTTCTAGGTATATCCCCTCGAATTCTTTCCCAAACTGACAGTCTACACCGGTGTGCATGAATCCTTCGTTGTCGATAGAGCTGAGCCACGAGATGCAAAAGCTACAAAGTTCCGCAGAAATATGGTTTACATAGTCTGGATCCTTCCCAGTAAAGATTTAATCAACAAAGGCTCTGCACTCTGAAATGTACTGATATGTATTAACAGATAAACTGAACCAACATCAAATAGGGAGTCATATGAGATTATTGTAATTTGACTTTATATGCACACATTCTACTATAAAGAAGTTATAAGAATGATTACTGTGTGGATTTAAACGATGATCATTCATCTGATCGAGCAGTTTCTCTTCCCATTGTTACCTCCTGCGGCAAAGTAAAAGAGATATAATAATGACCACAAGGAGAAGATTAGTTGTCAGACAGAAAAGACTATTGTTACCTTTAGCTTAGAATCGCTGGAGAAGACGCAGCTGGATGTGACTGCATGGCCTGGCTCAAACAACCATCCTACTGAAAATATTCTTCCACGGTCTTTGCTTTCTTGGATTGAGCACCAGAGATCTTTCGGGAGCAACATTATATCCTTTTCTTCTCTCAGAATCTCAATCACCTTCTCGCCAGTAACTTGTTGAATACAACCCTGAACAATCTCACAAAATACTCCAACTTAAATTGAGTACGGCAATCACTGAATAGATGCACATATTTGGACAAAGAGGTCAGGCTAACTCACGGAATCAGAGGCATGAAAGGTAGTGGTAGCGAGTAGAACTCTCCAAGAACCAGTTACCACTGAAGCTGCTGTGATAGGTGTAGAAGCAAACCCGGAGCTACGGATGGCACAGCCTCCGAGCTGATCGCCATTTCTGAACGGACCATCCCACAGCTCACAGAAAACTTTGACACTCTGCAACAACATTTTGGACTCAGCTAAGCGGACAACCTGGAAAATCCTCACACGAGACTCCTTGTCGTTTGGATTGATCAGGCAATGCTCCAACTCTAGCTGGTCGTTCCCCAGAGGCCACACAGCGACATAGGAGCCACTGGCAGAATAAGAAAACGCTAATGCAGACAATTTGCTGCCCCCGATGCTCCTCTGATCGATGCTGTAACGGGTGGCTGCATCAGCTTCACATCCAACGGTGGGAAGGAGTTTGATGGACTTGTAAAGAAAGGTCTGTGCGTCGGATTGGGCGAGGGTGGGGCACTGCGTCTGCCAATCGAACACCTTCACTTCCCACTCTCTAAAGGCTTCTGGAACCACTGATTCAGGTAGTTCAAGCGGTTGCCCTTCCCGCGAAAAATCAGCTCCGAAACCGTCCCATTCGCCAGACACATTTCGAGCGAACTCCGACCAAGCTTAGGGACAAACACAGTGTCAACCAAACATCAACTCTTAACTCGATTCAATTCTCGAAACATAAGATCATACAGAATCGACAAAGATAACAGAGCTTACGATTGAAATCAGGGGCAGGGTGACTCTGCGCCAGGGCAATATCCGAGGAGATTTCAGCTGAACAAGAAAGAGAAGAAACCGTGGTTCGGTGAATAAACCTCAAACTGGAAGAGAAGGGAAAGCAGAGAGCTTTGAACGAAGGCGGAGGTGCAGGTGGAGCTGTAGGGTTCCGCCATAAGAGGGAGCTTCCGGGGGATGATGATGATGATAACGATAGCATCTCGGAGTAGAGAGTAGTATAATTTGATCATCTCGCAATGGTTTAAATGGATTCAGTATTGGGCTCACACTTTGATTGGTTTTCTCATTTACCAATGGGCCCATTTCATACGGCAATGATCGGTTATAACCGGACTGTGTTCAGTGGAAACACAAAAGAAGCAGCACTTTGCAAACACAATATACTTGACAAACTAGAGGAGAACAAGAATGAGCAATGTGGAAACTGTTTGTCTGATTTACCACAACAGCATAAAGGATTCAGATCTTATTGATTGTACACATTTGCTACAGGAAAGAGAGCACCAAGTTTGTGGCCACCAAAGGGAGAATGGGGCTCGATGCAGTCTCTTATAACTCATCTCGTGAACCACTTTTGCTTTCATATGATGCATAAGCTTTGATAATTGAAACATACACGTCGATGCCCTTCAAGTACTCATCTTTACCCAGATACTGCAACAAAGCAAAACAACATGCGTTACAAAGTGATAACGATGATTGATGCAGCGTACCCTTAGTTCCTATTACGTTTTGGCTTTYGATTTCCTTTTATTTTAAATCTTTTCCTTTTCCTAGATAACAATACTTTGGGCTTRTGTGTTTAACCTAGTTTAAGGGTTTATGTTTTCCTATAAATATAGTCGATACGTTGGTTTGTGAGGCACGACTTTTATTCATTAATCAAAGAAGCTTTTGCTTTTCTTTACTCTCTTGAATTCGGCTAGAACAAGGTTCTCAACGAGCTCAAGATCGCGTGATTCATTTGGGAATTCTCAGACTAAACAATCGACTCCGCAAACTCTATCCTTTACTACATCAATGATCCACCAAACAATCAGAGCTACATATATGCAACCTTTTATATGAAAGACGGTACCTCATTGTGGTCATGAAGTAAGCCCGGGGTCTTTGATATGGGAGAGAACCCAAATGCGAGCAAGCCAGCTTCCCGAAAGTAGCGAGCATCTGTTGATGCAGGGAAAATCTCAGGCTTGCTAGTCCTACTTCCAGCTTCCTTCACAGCATTTTCCAAGAGACTCCACCACGGATTTGAATCATCTGCTGCTGTAACGATCTGCTTCCCCGAAAACTTTTGCTTGAACTGCCCCAGCCAACATCTTTTATTAGTTAAACATTTTGTCTATAACTTGCATGGGAAGAGACATTCGACACTGTGTTGCTGCTAGGCTTGAAGACTTAACAGTTTCTAATAGGATTGGCTAAGAAAGTACCTCAAAGGACATGTTGCGGGCTGCGGGTGCCCATTCCTCCACCAAACGTCTTTCAAGTGCTTCAGAATCAAAATTGGGTGGGATACGAATGTCGAAACCAGCTTCTGCCTCAGATGGTTGCAGATTCATTACGAAACCCTTGAGAATATATATAAAGAAAAAAAAAGAGCCAAATTGTGAGTAAAAAACATCAGCTTTAGCACCACATGAAGCAAGAAAATACAAAGTGGGGAGAAGTTACAGTTGGAGAAGGTGTGCCAGCTTTGAGGAAGTTTATGTTAACGGAGACAACATCGCCTTCACCAATCCCACCAGCTTTGAGCAGATCAAACTGGGAGGCTCTGAATCTGCGAATACTCTCAATGCTTTTGAGAAGATTCTCCATGGCAGAGTTATCATAGAGCTTGGCACCGTGACCAGGAGGTCCTTTAGCCTTTATCACAAGCCACCAGGGACTCCTCTCTCCGTAGAACACTCTGTAACTCTCAGTAGGCGATGTCAGACCTGACTCACCAAACGTTCTGCTTTAAGATGGCTAGACAGGAGAATTTCTACAATCAGAAATCAAGAAGAGCGTTCGTTTACCTTCGTCGAGCACGACTGCGATGTTCAAGCTCTTGAAGAGCTGGGATTCCACGAACTTCTCGACGCCATCGTGGCCGCCGATCTCTTCATCGGGGACGAAGGAGAGATAGACGGATCGGATTGGCTTGAACCCAGAAGCCTGGAGCTTGCGTATGGCCTCGAGGTACTGCATCCCGACGCACTTCATGTCCTGGGAACCTCTGGCGTAAATGTTGCCGTGGTGGTCGATGTGGGCGTGGAGAGGATGGTGGGTCCACTTGGATTCCTCAAAGGGAACGACATCGGTGTGGGAGTTGAGGAGAAAGGCAGGGAGGGTTGGGTCTGAGCCAACCCATTTGAGGAGAAGAAGCGGCTTTCCCTCAACGAGCTCGATCGTCTGAGATTCGAGGGAGAGGGATTTCGCCTGAGACTTGATAAAGTCAACGGCTCTGTAGTAATCGGGTTTGGGCTGAACCGTGTCGATTCGGAGATACTCCTGGAATCTGGAGACGATCGCGTCGTCGTCGGCCACCGCAGAAAGGCATAGATGAAGGAGAAGAAGAGCGAGGATGGGAGACTGGAGGAGGAAGGGGAAGATTCGTCTGCAACTGCCAGTAGCAGCCATTG